GACAAAAAAATCCACATACCTTAAATTCACAGAAACTAAAGATTGCAATAACCAAAGTGTGAAGAAGCTTAAGGCTTTTACACATAATCATTATTTGTGGAACAAATGCACATTTTTAAATAAAAAAATCTTTGGGAACAGGGCTTCTAGAAAAATGGTTTCCTGTGACTGTTGCAAGTTTAGCCTGTCTTCTGCCAAGCTCAAGACATCTTGTTTCTGCAAGATCAATGAAAGGATGCAACAAGAGCATTTTAGCTACTGTGTGGTATTCCAAATGGCTTTTCAGTGACAATAACATATTATGTCTACACCTAACTGGGGCTAGGGGGAGGATGATAGCCTTATAGGGCTGTATTGCTGTTGCTAGTTTTTTTTAACTGCCTGAATCAGCACTCCCCATGCAGCAGAGGAGATCACAGTTTCCCCTCAATTTACTTACTTTTTGAGGTGACCGTTATCTCACTTCCAATATGACAGAATTTAATAGACAAACCGTTTGCAAATCTTTGAAGAAAGTAAACTAATTTAATAGTACATTGTCATGAAATGGCCAGATGTATTGAACTGCTATAAACATAAAAACTAAATATCAATTTGCTAGTGGATTGCATTTTCCATTAAAATGTACTGAATGTAATGATTAAAGATAACCCATTCTTTTGCTTTAAAAATGAGTCATAAGATGATAATGCAGAGAGAAACAATTCAAGAATTTGTTTTCCCCCAGCCTTTATACAAGGGACTAATAAGATGTTTTAGATGAAATTCACTCAGACTAATGACTGAAGAAGAGTGAATGCACATGACAGCTTATACCCAGAATTAAACTTTGTTGGTTTTAAAGGTGCCACTGGACTCAAACTTTGTTCTGTCATTCAGACATTGATTAGGTACAAGCTATAAAGATTCTTCAGAGAGATAAACAACTATAGAAGCTTAAATAATCTTCAACTAGGTACTGAAATTTGGGTACTTCTATTTTTTCCTGTAGTATTATCCCAACATATGTCTGGGTAGCTGCAGCCCTCATACCTGCATTTTTATTACTTGTTCATTGATAACCCATTCATAGCCTGGCGGTTCTTAGTCTTCTTCTGTTGTTATTTTTACTTAATCAAAGACTTTCAATACTTTCCAACTTGTATTTGAATTTTAGATATCAAATGTCCTGTTTTTCAGAATTTAATGTTAATCAAAATGGCCTGAACATGTACCAAATATTAAGATTTTTGTAGTAACACTGTAATAATGTTGACACCTGCATCACTTCAAGAGAAACCCAAGTGTCACTGTACAGAGATACTTTGATGTCCAATTCTCAATCCTTTAATAGTTGTCTAAAGCAGGTGTTTTGGAAATTTTTTCCTCCAAGCCCCCTTATTAGTCTGGTTTTTTTACTGAGGGACAGAGATTTACCACCAAAATGAAGCATGCCTTGCCTGGTGAAAACCTATTCTTAGAAGAACCTTGAGCTCTTCACAACCCGTTCATCATACCAAATCACAGCCATCCATAAATTACAATGCACACGTAACCATCCTTCTCCACAATACCTCCTCTACAAATGCAAACACATAACTTTCCTGTGTGTTCATGCTCACAAATGCATATCCCCATTATCATCTACTGGGATGAGGAATTCCAGTCTTCATAACAGAAAGGATACTGGGGCTACCACCTATGAGCATGTTGTGAATGAGCTGTTTTACTCTCTCATATTAATAATATGTAAAAATGAAACCACCAATAATATTTCTCTTTTCCCTTAAGGAAAAGTCCTAAATACATATGCCTGCTGCCCTCCAATCATGCAATCTTTATTTCCATCCACAAGGAGGAAATGAATAGAATATTAAATCAAACCAAATACCAGATCCATTGGTTATGCTCTGTTCTACCTCCTTAAATCCTGTATCAACTGTCCAGTATTTCTGGTACCAATACTGTATTTTCCCAGTATACACACATATACACACAATATGGGTCACACTCTGTCCTTAGAAACACCAGCATAGTTATATTCTGCTCATGCAAATGCTCCTAAATTTATGACAGATTATCTGAAAAAAATTATCAAAAGTACAGCAAATCAGTTTGGCAGGTGCTAAAACAAAATGAGACAATCAGATTTTCTTTTTACTCAGAGATATAGATATGGGCTTTTAAATGCTATTGCCTATCTTTCAGGCATTTATTTCCAAAGAAACAGATGATAACTAAAGTATTTTGTAAAGCATGCCTGAAAGATTATTGAAGTTTTGTTTTAATCTTGAGATTTAGCATGAAGAACCTGGGTGGTAGCTGAGGTTGGACCGATTTGATACATAAATAAAATAGCATCTCAGAAAACTTGGTTGGCATTTGAAAAATATTATTGAATCTGAATAAACATTATCTATAACAAACTCAATATGTGTTCAAGCAGGTCCGGCATGATGTTTTTTTGCACCCTAGGTGGGGCTACCTTCTGGCACCCCGTGCACCCAATTATGGGGTTGCCAATCTCCAGGCAGAGCCTGGAGAGAAGGAAGTCCTACTTCTCTCCCCCTTTATGTGAGTGAGGAGGCGGCGGCGAGGTTTCCGGGCACCCAAACCAAAACACCCCACATTTGGATTTACAAAAGCCGACCCCAGGCGGAGGGGGAAGGCGAGGCAGCCTTGCGCTCCCCTTTCGCGCCCCCCATGCCACGTGGCTGGGAGCAGCAATAGCACGCGGGCTTTTGGCGGGGGGGGGGAGGCACAGTTCGGTACCCCATTCAGGGCCCGGCGCTCTAGGCGAATGCCTAGTTCACCTAGTGGGTGAGCCGGCCCTGTGTTCAAGTGGTTTGTACACAACCATTTACTGCTATTTTATTTTTTAAAAGTATTTCCAGAGAATTAGTAACTAGAGTTGGAGATCATGTTAGAAGATGAGACAAGAGGAAGCAATTAATGAGAACTTCTAAGATCTCAGGTATCAATTGTTTCTTTCTATAATTTGGATCTGGACATCGATGTATCAACTGAACACAGTGCATTAAATTCTTTTATTTCTTAGTGGGGGGTTTTCATTCTGTAAAAATAAGTGCACATTGTACACCAAAATAGAAAGAAATAGAAGAAAATAACCCTCCTCCTACACTCCAGCTTGCAAGAAAATACATTGGACATTATATGAACATAAAATTGCCTTGCTTGGTTAAACTTAATGACTATATAGCACAACACTATCTTTCCAAAATGATCAGCCAAGGTGCCCCTGATAAACTCTCAAAGAAGATACAGTGCTGTGATCACTGTCTACCATTGTTTGCCCCAGATATGCTGTCTCTGATCTGAATAGAGTGGTCCCATTTTTGTCATGAATGGCAAACCTGTTCTCCTTAATTTAAAAGTACCTCTCTTCTAGGATGTATAATAGATATTAATTTCTTGATTTGGCTAACACCACAGCACAACATACCCTTTACTACTGTCTGATACCATGCTGAAATCACAAAGGGTGTTTAAAATAACGAAGAGTCTTATGACACCTTAAAGGATAACAAATTTATGGGACATTATTCTATTCCATTCTATTTATTTATTTACAGTCCGCCTTTCTCACTGTGACTCAAGGTGGATTACACAGAGTAAGGCAATGCAATCACCAGGATGGGACATCCGGTAAGCAATGCAATAAGATTTGAATTGCAGAAATCTGGAACCAACCAGAAATCTCAAAACAAAAGGGAAGTATTAACATGACAATACAAAAAATACAGCAACAGGCAGTACAAGCTATACACAGTAGTATACACCACAGTGACTCGTGTAAGCTCATACCCTACCACAACTTTTGTTAGTCTTTAAGGTGCTACTCTTTTCTACTGCTACAGACAGACAGACACGGCTACCCATCTTGATATTTTACCCAAGTAACTTTCTGAACCATTTTGTTATAGTACAACCCTATTAACTGTGTAGAAAAGCACTCTTGAATAATTCAGTTTCCTAGTTTGTGAAACGCCAGGAGTGCGGGAGCCTCCTTGACCTCATCAAGCAAGCCATTCTGTAAGGGTGGGGGCCATAATACAGAAAGCACATATATGGGCAGCTGTTGATTTTGCCCATTAGCTTTCTTGAAGGGGGGATTAGAATCTTTGCTCCATCACCTGTGTGGTTTGAAAGGCTGATGATAACTATGAAACCCATCCTTTTACTACTGATAAATTGGTTAAAGCTTTTAAAAAATAATCTGCATTAAGTGATTCACAGTATTAAAAGTTGGCTGCAGGCTTTGGAGATTCTGGATTCCGTGCTTGGTTTCTCCAGCTAAAAGGCTCCCATGCAGCAGATCTAGGCTGACACCTAGAAGTACTGTTGTCAGTAAAGTCCGGCCAGTGAACTAATGTCCCATTCTTGTTAGCCGCCCTGAGTCGCTTGGAAGGGCGGGATATAAATCTCAAATAAATAAATAAATAAACAAATTCAAAAGGTCGCTCCAAATGAACATTAGTTTCTCACCTTGCTCCCCTTAAATTTGCATGAACTCTAAAGGAATTCACATAATTCCTTCCAAATCCCTTTCCGAGCTTGGAAAGACTCCCAGAGGGGGTGCTTTTCTTTTTCTGCATTATTTGAACAGGGTGCTCGCATGTCTCTTCATGGGGACACAGTGTATGACAGGGACGTCGTTTCCGAGAACTCGGGGCTTTTGTGCGGTCTTCCGCATAGGGTCTTGTGGGGGTGAGGTGTGCGTCTGAGGACCCTGCGTGAACAGGACTTTCCGAGGGAGGGGACCCCCAGAGAGCAGGGCCTCGTTCGTTAGGGTCAGCCGGTTATTACTTCTCGACCCTTCTTCAGTTAGGAGACTGTTGGGGGGAAGCTTTCTCAGCAGGGCGGGTCGGTGGGGGCGCTGGGGAAGGAGCCCTGACACCGGGGAAGGGGCTGAGGGGGTGGCGGAGCTGAAGAGCGGGGTAGCGCCGCTGGCCTGCCTCCCCCTCACGCGGCGCCGATCTTTCTTTTTCCCTCCCGCGCAGGCTGCTCCCTTCCTACCCCGGTTACCGTGGCAACCGCCCGGACTCCCCCAGCCCCGCGCCTGCTGCGGAATCGCTCCGTAGCAGCAGCAGCAGCAGCCGCCGCTCGCTGCCGGACTCGCTGCTACTGTCGCTGCCGTCGTCTCCGCCGCCTCGCATGGAGCTGCTGGCTGCCGCGCTCAGCGCCGCCTGTGCCTTGGACCATGAGGGCTCCGCAGAAAGCGTGGCCGGAGGAGCCCGCTCGGCTGGCAGGTGAGGCGCGGGAGAGTTCTTCGCAGCGGGACGAACTTGCTTCCCCTCTGCCCGGTCCCAGCCGCTGCCTCGCACTCGCCTTCCTCTTGCTTGCGTTCCCCTCTCCGCTCCGGCCGCTGACCGCCTGGCCGAAAAGACTCCAGCGCGGGAACCTGGGCTCCGGCACGCCTGGACTGGCTGCCCCCTGTAGGGAAGGAAGGGCAGCGCTGTGTTCCTTGTTCCTCGACCCCTTGCGGGTCGCTCGCTGGCTGGCTTTGCGGTCCTCCTCGCTGCTGCCCCCACCTTCTTTTCCCAGCCCTCTCCCCCCCCCCTTGCACCTTTAGTGAACAGGACCGGAGGAGCTCTCATCGCCCCCCCCCCCGCCCATCGGCTGCCCACCCAGTATTTTGTTGCTGGTGCTTCTGAGTGCCCGCAGGCTGAGTTTCCGAGAGAAACTGTAACCAAACCTCATTAGGCAGCAGGGCGAAGGAATGTCAGGGCGGAGGGTGCGAATTTGGGGAAATGTTTGAGCCCAGGCTCCTTTCATTTTTTTTAAAAAAGTAATTATCATAGACTTATGGTTCCCACTGAGAGCTTTATCCCCCCCCCTCCTCCTTATGGAGCTGAACTTGGCCATTTTTTGCCTCCCCCCCCCCATCCCAATCCGATGTCTCTGCTTCTTTTTCTTAGGGTTTAATGGTTTCCTATAGGAAACGTTCGGAGAAGCACAGGAGAGTGATGGAGATCTGATTCCTTCCCACCCCTTAAGCACTTGATGTAGTTGCTGCTATTGGTCAGCACCTTCTTATCTACAGGGGGTCCAGAGCAGATGACTATACCTTTGACAATTGTTTTCCCTTTCCCAAAGTGAATCCCCTTCCATGGCTGGACCAATTCCCATTCCTGAAGAGAGCCCTGAGCTTCAAGACTGTCCTGCTGCTTTCCCAGAGGGCCTGCAGATGATTCACCCTATGACAGCTGACTCCTGGAAGAACTTCATTGAGCAAATAGGTAAGGGGAACACATAAGCTGCAGCCTAGTTCACTGCTGGGAAGAAGGGGCTGACTACAAGTTACGTGCAACTGAACACGCTAGAGCTCTGACACCATGTTTTCTTTGGGGGGGGAAAGGCGTGGGAGGAAAAAGAGAGGTGGCACAGCGAGGGGGTGCTTCACTCTTTGCAGCCCACTGTCCCAACTTCAAATTGCCTCTACTCCAGATGCTTTTCCTGTTATAGAACTTCTCAGGAGTATTTGCTCTTTCTAACAAGCACTAGGGAGGGGTAGTACTTTGGGGAGCTGATGGGGAGACTGGAAACAACAGACAGTGAAAGAGTTAAGCCCACCCCCAGCCTTACGGCTTCTTTTTCAGTAGTCCCCTCCCAAATAAAAACATGGTGTCCGGGTTCTAATATGTATGCTTGCATGTAACATGTAGGTAGCGTCTTAGTCCTGTTGAACACTATAGAACAACTTGTGAGAAAATATGCTTAACATCAGATTATTAATGTGCTATAACAAGCATATGTAGGACAGAAGGCTGGCTGACAGAAAATGGTAAACTTACATTAAAATACATTACATTCAAATATATTTCTATTTCAGTGGATGAATACATGTTATATATGTAATAAAGAAAAATAATACATGTTGGAAGGGAACTTGGACTGAAATGTGTAAAAAAAAAATGAAGATTGTGTTGTCATACCTTGGAGGAGAATGCTTCCACTAAAAAAGAGGTCATCTAAGCAACATTGTTCTGGGTCACCATTCCTCAGCAATAGAGGGCCTCAGTAGCTGTAGATGCTATCTTTATTGCTCCTGTTTCATATAACTTAGTCAAATTGCTGTCTAAATATTCCTGTCAGTTTCAGCAGTTCACACAAGAAGTTAGAAGTGCTCTCTTTTGCTAATATCTTATTGTCACGGAATACAAATCTTAAGCCTCGTCCTCCTCACTGTTGCTACCAGTTGTATGCAGAGGCTTTTATTAGTCTAGAGCCCTATACTGTGAGTAATGGAAGCCAGGGAGACTCCTGAAATGGGCAAAAACTTGGAATTTAGTGGTGTAAGCAATTATCTCTTTTTATATTTAAGGTAATGGTATTTGGATTATGTACGCAAAATATTGGCATTATAAACAAGAAAGATCTTTCCAGCGCAGTGGCTAGGATCTTTAGATTCATTTAATCTCTAAATTGAATTATTCTACTATTTTCAGTATAGTGGTTTATTAGTTCTCATGGTACTGATGGTGAAAGGTACTGCCTGTATATAGATACATTGCTTCTGTTTCAGACCAATAATCATATTGAAATCAGTTGACACTGAGCTTCAGCTGTAATCACTAAAGATTAGATCCTTTTCCATATTCAATGTCTTGTTCATTGCTTAGTATACCTTGATTATTAATAATCATTTCAACGTTTACTGAAAATATGTAAGTAGTTCAAGAGGAATTATGTAAGTAGTTCTGCTAGAGCAGCATAATACATTTAAGTGTGATCTCTCCTTTTCAGTAAAGTGTGGGAAGCTAACAGGAAAGTGCATGGTTTCCAAGGTACAGTTTCTCCTACTGCTATTTTAATCCTGTTTTGAATAGCATTTCAGAAAGAAGCGATTACTGAATACACTCACAGTATGCAAAAAATATTCCTTATGGCCATCTTCTCATTATAAATTTTGTGTGTATCTAAGATTATAAACTAAATATAGCTTTATGTAAAGGAATATTGAAGTACTTGGGATGGATGTACATACAAGCAATTTTATGAATTACAATTTAATAAAACTGAAAGGGAAATAATTTAAATTATTTCACAAGAAATGAGCAGAGACTTCTGTGTTTGAGACTTATTGGGTTGGATCTAGCAGTCTGTTAGTATAATGCCCTTTTGTGTGTTTATTTTTGCCACATTTCTCTCCCTCCTAGCAGTCCTTTTGGACCTTAGGAATGTTGATTCTTGGAGTCACAGGACCCATGGGAACTAATAGCCATGTGGGTCAGTTGGGTACAGTGGGGAGGGGGAAGGAGGTGAATTTTCCTCTATTTAAGGAGGAAAATTCCTCCATTTAAGGAAGGAGGAAAGGGTGGTTTCATCCTCTTCTCCTGCCTCACTCTAGCCCTTGCAGTCCACATGGCTTTAATCCACAGGAGTGCTATGACCCAGGAAACAACTTTCCAAGAATTCGATAGGAGTGCTAGCAGAGAACAGTAAAATCTGTGCTCCTTATGCTGATGGATCACTGGATTCAACTAATTATTTCATGTTTCAGACACATAAAACTGATATCTGAGTTAAAATAGTTGTCTGAAATAGGATTTGTAATACTAGTTTTATTACTAGTACTAGATATTAAAAAGTAAATGTTGCAATGCAAGATTTTGCTATTCTGTTTTAGGGCATAGCCACTGAAAATCCAAAAAGAAATTTTCGCATTCTGAAAAATATTGGGATTCTATTACTATTGTGTAAAGATTGATGGGGAAATTGTTTGTCATTGAGCTGTGGTGGCTCAAGTGGTTAAGACGCTGAACTGCAGGCTGTGTAAGGTCAGTAGTTCAGCAGTTCGAGACCCGGGTGCCGCATGATGGAGTGAGCTCCCATCTCTAGTCCCAGCTCCTGCCAAGCTAGCAGTTCGAAAGCAAGAAATTGCAAGTAGATAAATAGGTACCACTTCGGTGGGAAGGTAACAGTGTTCCGTGCGCCTTGGTGTTTAGTCATGCCGACCACATGACCACGGAAATGTCTTCAGACAGCACTGGCTCTTCGGCTTTGAAACGGAGATGAGCACCGCAACCCTACAGTCGGATTCAATTGGCTTTCGAGCAAGGGAACCTTTACCTTTTACTTTTGTATAAGAGGCAGTTTGGTGTAGTGGTTAATCTGGAGAACTGGGTTTGATTCCCTACTCCTCCATGTGCAGCTGCTGGGTGACCTTGGGTCAGTTACAGTTCTCTCAGAGCTGTTCTCTCAGAGCTCTCTCAGCCCCACCTACCTCACAGGGTGTCTGTTGTGGGGAGAGAAAGGTAAGGAGATGTGAACTACTCTGAGACTCCAAGTGAAGGGCAGGGTATAAATCCAATCTCCTCCTCCTCCTCCTCTTCTACTTCGATATTTCAGCAGTCATTTATGTTGTTAATCATGGAAAGGCTAGAGTGAGGCAGGAGAAGAGGATGAAATCACAGCCATGTGGATCAGGAGGCTGCAGCTAGAACGGGGAAATGGCAAAAAATCTCTCTCTTTTTCCTCTTCCATCAGTGAAGCTGCACCAGTGGAAGAAACAGAAAGAGTGATTTCATTCCCTTTCCCTGCCCAAGTGTAGCCTCTTGATCTGCATGGCTGTTAGTCTATGCTGGCCCTGACCATAAACTATCCTGGAACTGGAAAGGACTGCTGGAATGAGGGGAACATGGGAAAGATCTGTGACTAGCTAGCACCTTTTGCTTGCTCCAACCCATTATTAGGACAAGCTATGTTTGGCAGTTTCAGATGTCATGGCACCTCATCGTCATTATGAAACATGTGAAGGAGAAAGGAGGAAAACAGAGAAGCCCACAGCGCCTTCTCATTACCCAAGCCCTGGTCTGTGTTTTCCTGGTCATGATGACTGTGCAGTGGCTTCACCAGACAGTGACCTGTCTCCTAATGGGTTTGGGCCACCAAGAATATACTGCCTTAGTGCTTTTATGGCTGCAGTTATTACCTGCAGATTTATACCTATTAATGACATAATATTCTCAAATACTCTGTTGCTAGGACAGCTGCAGGAAAAAAGAACTTCAGTTTGCTGAAGAGAGTATTAGACATATTTATGAAGGAATTTTTAGGTCTTTGATAACTTCAGTTGTAGCCCATTTGAATCAGGAAGGGCCCCCCCCCCCCATATAACCTTGTCCCCTTTTTTGCCTTCCTCTGAGATATCAGGGAATTACACGACTTAAAAAATGTACCAGATGCATGGAATTTGACCCAATAAAATTTCACTTGGAACGTCTGTAGGGATTAGGGATGCCAGCCTCCAGGTGAGACCTGGAAATCCCACAGAATTACAGCTCAAATCCAGACTGCAGAGGTCAGTTCCCCCAGGGAAAATGGATGCTTTGGAGGGTGGACTCAATGGCATTGTATTTGTGTTCTCCCCAGTCTCCATCCCCAAATCTCCAGGAGTTTCCCAACATGGATCTGGCATCCCTACTCCCCCCCACTGGCAACCTTTTATGGATGGTGTTTGCTCATGATCATCATATTTAGACTGGGAAAGAATTCTTCTCCTGATTGGACAGGCTAGTTGTTCTTGGGTTTTGGCTTGTTTGTTTTGCTTTGATATCATGGCTTGGGTCACTTACTTAAGCCATCTGGAGCTAATTGATTCTCTGTACTTTGAACAATACAAATAAAAATGTAGCCCTATAAGAGTAGTTACTTAAGAGTAATTAAACATTGTCTGACATTTATCAGATTCCAGTTATCCTTACTTCAAATTGTTCTAGCTATAGCCAGGATGCTCATTACCTACAGCTGATAATAGAACAGCAACTATGATCTCCCTTGGCTCATATGGTATGAAACATCCCATTTTCACAACAAATGTTTTCTAAGAACTCAAGGTGAACTGTAGCAAGTAGCTTTTAATTTGCAACTGTAAACATTTATTGTTTTTTATATACTTTTGTATTGCTTTTATCACTACAAAACTACAAAGAGTAAGGGTATGGGAAAGTCTAACCTAAAATGCAGAGTTAGGCAAGGATCATGTTACAAAAATTGTACATAGATTTTCTTGATATTTTCCCAATATTTAAAATTTAAGGAATGAAGGTTAACCATTAATATTTCAAAATCAAACTAGTACAAGCATAATTAGCTAAAGTAGGTACATCCTAGTGTTCTATATAATAATAAAGAGAAAACATGCTTTCAGAATTAAGCTATTTATCATATTTCTTTCCTCTGTGCTTGTTTTTATCATAGGTCAGTCTGACTTTAAGAAGTTTAGGAACTTCTTCTCCTATGTCGGATACAATGTCTTCTTCAGAGGGGCTGCTCGAGGAGCTGTCACTGCTTCTCGATCTGTGTTCGCTATTTTCTTCTATTGCAATGTTATCCTCTGCTTTTCCTTTTCCTTTCGCTGTTGTTTGGTGCTGCTCCAAAAATGCTTTGGCTTATGTAACAGAGTCAATCTTTTCTTTTTTCTCTTTGTAGTTGAAAATAAGTCTTTATAGAGTTATCCATCTGTAGGGAGTTGAGTTTTTCTGTAAAAAGGATGTCGGGTTTTTGTATTGCTTCCTCCTCTTTCTTATCTCAAATGGAATGTCTTTTAAAACTCTTGCTTCTTCGCCTTTGATTTTTAAGGTTATCTCATTAGTTGCTTTCAATATTATATCTCTAGTTGATCTTTTGGAGAACTTCACAAATAGTTCACCGGGCAGTTTATTTTTCTTAATAAATTCTGAATAGATCCATATCGCTTTGTAAAGATTCCGCTTTAAGATCTGCCACTGGAGCTAGGGCTTCACTTATAATCTCTTTCAAGTTCTTGCCTTTTTGTTCAGGGATACCTTGAAATCTCAGGACATATGATGACCTTTCTATCTGTAGTTGTAGCAGCTGTTCTTTATCGGTGTTTCTCTCTTTTTCCACTACCTCCAGTCTTTGATTTATCGCATTTGTCTTAGCATCAACTTTTTTCAACGTTTTAACTGTTTCTTCTGTTCTTATGCTGGTTTCTTTCAATTGCTTTTGGAGAGCATCAAAGTTATTATTGAGGTTGGTCATCTGGTCCAGCAGAGGGTGCAGTGCTGCAGCTAGCATATTAGGGAAGTCAGTGGTTACTTCTGGTCTAGAGGCCGGCGTCGCTGAGCTGGCAGTTCCTGAAGAAGGTTTCATCCTGGCCGCCATTTTTTCAGCCTGATGCGACATTGTTTACACAGAGAGAAAAAGTTCTTTTAAGTCTCTGAAAGTCTGTTAAGTCGCACAATTGTTACTATTCTGCACACTGCTCGGCTGAATTAACTTATTTTCAGTCAGAACCGCCACTCCACCCCTCGTACTCGCTCTCTTAATAGCTTTTTTCCAGGGTAGGATTGACTCCTCCCCCCTCCGCTGCATAAACTTGGGGCTTTGAGGCGGTTTTGCGCCGGTGTGTGCCTTTATTACCATTACTGGTTTCACGGCAGCAGAACCTATCGGGGCAAAGGGGAGCCTTGATCCCTCAGCTGTCGCCTTGGGAGAGGCACCCCTCGCGCCCTAGGCTACGAGCCCCCTCCAAAGGGCCCTGGGAGGCCCCCGGAATTGTCCGGGATCCCTCCCATTCACCGTGATCATGGGCTGCTCTCATCGGAGCTCGATGGAGCATGCCCGCCAGCAAGTCACCAAGACCAGAAGTTCTGTAAACTTTTATTATATCCCTACAGAATTCAACTTCCCTGATAGTACAGAGAACAATCTTTCTTTAATTACATTTCTGTTTCTGGCTGTAGAATATATTTTTTACAATTCTTCTTACAGAATAGATTCAGAAGAGACCCATTCCTCATTATGATCCCAGTTTTAAAATTGTATGCAATTGAAACTGTTGTGTTGTGCGTGCTGACTTCAATCCTTTGTTAAAAATGAGGAATAAAACCATCTTATTAATGGGTGCTATCAGTGTTTTTTTTTGCTGAAATAAAATGTTTCAACACAAATATAGCATTTAGTGAAACAAGTAGATTGTTTTGTTCAGTCACATTCTATCTACATCATTGCTTTCTAGGTCTCTTGTATCAAGAATATCGGGATAAATCCACACGTCAGGAGATAGAAACTAGGCGGCTGCAGGATTCACAGACAGATACGGAAGAGTGCACAGCTATTGAGGAGACACCATCAGAAAAAGAAGCTACAGATACAGTGGAAAACAAGGCTGTTCCCCAGATTAACCTGCTCAGAAACTCCACTTCCAGATTTAATTTATGGCAAGATCTTCCAGAAGTCAGAAGCAGTGGTGTTCTGAATATTCTCCAGCCAGATGAGATCAAACTTCAAGAGGTAATAGCTGCTTCAGGGCAGGGTGTGGGAAAAGTGTGTTGCTTCTTTGGCATGCTAGTGAACATTCTTGTGACTTGAGTCATTTAATACAAGTTGGCACAATTTAAAATTAAACCTAAGGTATCACATTAGTTACTGTTTTGCAAAGTTTAACTGGTTCTCTCTTTCCTCCCCCAAAGAAAGGAAAGAGCCAATGTTCATTCTGTCCCTTCTGCTCTGTTGCCCCTGTAATATAAGACTGTGTTGGTAGAAGTATGTCAACAGGTGATATAGCCAGGGCTAAAGTTGCTAAGATATTTAGGAATACTGAAATTATGCCAGGAAGTTGCAGAGGAAAGATAATTCTTTGCATCAGTCCGTATTGTGGAAGATTCTGAAGAAATACCCATATCTGAACCATTGTTTTTGGGCAGTGCATAAGATGAGCTGTATGCCAAAGAGGTATAACTGAAAATTAAACAGTAACAAATCACCAGAATGCCAGGCATTCACCCAATAGCCCTTTGCAAACTTATATGTTAAATTGTTGATCTTTTAACTAAAATCAGTAATTTATCACAAGAACTAGATTTCCTAAATTGAAAGCTAGCCAATGTTACATCACTTTTACAAAAGAATCTCAGGGATGAGGGGATATGGGGAATTATAGATTTGTCAGTTTAACAAGTCCCAGGGAGATTGGTAAAAAGCACTATTAAGGCTAGAGTTGATATGAAGTATAAAATCCGCAAGGCTTCTGCGAAACAGTAGCTTATCTTACCAACATGTTTGATTTTTTTTTTGTGTCAACAAGTTTTTAGGGAGGGATGATCCAGTGGCCGCATTTGGAATACTGTGTACAATTTTTTGCTACCGCATCACAAAATGTATGTGTTCGAGTTGCATAAGATACAGAAAGGGAATTAAAGTGATCAGTTGGGTGGGGAGCTGAAAAATGGCTATGATGAAAGCCTGCAGAGGTTGAGGCTTCCTTCTTTAGCAAAAAAGAGGGCATGATAAATGAGAATCAAATAATACATGGTAAGAAGAAAGTCTGAACAGAGATTAAAACAATGTTCTACCATCTGAAGTCATCCAGTGAATTTGGCAGTTGGTTCAGAGCAGACAAAAAAGTAGTTCTTTACCCAAAACATATTTAAGGTCCCGGTCACACGGGCCGGAAAATACGGGGGGGGGGAACGTGGCCGTTAGTCCCGAGGCTAAAAACCGCGCGGTTGCTTAATCAGACCTACCGATTGAGGTCCCGTGGAGGTCCTGTGGTCGGGGGGAGGTGCCTATCACTCCACTGTCCTGCGGCGCGGCAAAGAAGCGGGGTGTGGGGCAAACGGGTTGGTTGTCTTTTTATTTAAACTCAAATATGCGCATGCTCCCTTGGGTGCGTGTGCGCATCCGTGGAGACTTTGGAAAAAAAATTCCCGAGGGGACATGGGTGGGCGCCGGAACTACCTCCGGAAACGCGATCAGATGCCCGCCCTTGCCCCGCGGTTTCAGGAAACTAGTACCTCCGAGGTACTAGTTTTTTACTGCGCGTCTTCGGCGGGAAGCCTCGGTTGCGCCACGGGAGCCCGACGCTTCCCAGATGTGCTGGTGAGATCACGCCCGGAAACTCCGCCTATTTTCCGTCCCTCTAGCGTGCCTAATGCTCCGTGTGACCGTAGGCTAAATTGTGAAATTCATTGCTACAAGATGCAGTGATAGCATCTTACCCACTTGTCTAATCTCTTTTAAAGTTAGTGGTTTTTTGAACCAGAGACGTTCCATTTAGTTGTCATAGCTAACACAAGGTCCTTCTGGTTACCTGACGTTTGGGACAGAGAGTGGAAATGTATGATCACTATTGTGTTCTGCCACTGAGCTTCCTAGAGGCATTTACTGTGGGAGAAAAACTGATGGAGTAGATAAGCCTTTAATTTAATCCTTCATGGCAATGTAAGTGTGTTCTTATGCTATGTATAACAAGAAAAGAATGGAATACGGTTCTTGGTTAGGAATTCAGCACCCTGAGATCTCTGGTTTCATATTTAAGAAAGCAAGTCTGTCATTCCTTTGGTTGCAGCCAGTGGCTTAAAATTGTCAGTGAATCTAGCTTTTTTGGCATGAAATGTAGACAGTTTTGCCCCATATTTTTAATGATGGAGAGGTTATATTCTACACTCATTAGTATCAATAGTAATAGTGTCACACAGTCAGTGCAATCCCATTGTCCAAGAGACTGACATAAAACTGAGATGAATGTTGTAGCATCAGAAGATACTTGTCTCTTAATACTTGATTTTCACAGGTATTTTCTACTAGATACCCAGGTATTTTCTACTACTACACCAGTTTGGGTAGGGGTAGTAAGAGATTTCTACCTCCAGTACTGGCTTTCACATTCTCAGGAAAAGTTAACCATTTCTGATTCACATTTTACATTAACATTAGTGTCATTTCCTATTTGGTGATGCTTAATCTACAGACATTTTAGCAGAGCTTTAAAAAAAAAAAAAAAAGAGGTGCCAGAATTCTCAAGAGGGAAATGAAATTTTCAGTCTGTATACTGAAAGCATTTTAAAAAGAATTTTGTAGCAGAGGTTCTGGGTTATGTATTGAGCCTGAACTGTCCTTGCAAAAGGACTGAGCTTGGGATGCATAACAATAGATTGCTAGGATCCTAGAAAGGATCAGTAGGGAGACAAGAATCCTAGAGTAAACCAATTGGGAAACAATAGAGTCTAAATAGCCTATCATTGGGAGTAGGGTTGCCAAGTCCTTACCTGTCCCGGAGCGGGGGAGTCCAGGCTCGCTCCGGGAGTCTTTGTGCGTGTGCGTGCCGCAGGCACATCACAGGGAAGTGACATAAGCATGTTGGGGACATTGGGGGCGGGGCCACAATCATCCAAGGGAAAACCATAGAGTTTTCCCTCGGATGATTGTGGCCCCGCCCCCAACGTCCCGGACGTGCTTACGTCACTTCCCTGTGACGTGCTTTGGGGGTGGGGTTCACCCCGTGGCCTGATCCGGCAGCGCCGGGGAACGGGCCTCCCGGGCGGGGGTTTCCCTGCCCCCCAGGGGGACTTGGCAGCCCTAGTTGGGAGTGGGGTGTTTTTGGGTGTAACCCTTTTCAGGCATAAATACCTGGCTTCGGCCAGGGATTGCAGTCTTCTTTCTCTTGCTGAATCACGAATAAACTATGAGCTGATCACTTCTACGTGTCTGATCTCAGTATATTTCATTATGGAACTCCCTTCCAGCTGTTCCCCCAGCCTTAGGATCAGAATCTCAGGCCTTTGAAAAGGAGACATTATTGGATTAAGCACGTTTAATGTTTTTTTCTCCTCCAGCCTTGCACATTAACTTATAAGTAGGGCAAATTGATCTAAGAACGTGACTTAATTTAAATAGCTTTTTTGCCTGATGCTTGGTTATGGCTTGTGTTGTTGCTAAAATAATCCTATTATGTAAGAAATGTTTTAAGAATGTATAGCAAATGTACTCTATAGGATGGTGAAGAGAGATGGAAAGAGAAGATATCAGACCACTTCTTCTGAGGTGTATTGAATAATTATATGCATTATACAAAAATAACTTTGCTGTTATTAAAATCAAAGAGTTCAAAGACATACTGAACAAAAGTGGGAAAGAGATTTGGGAAAATAGGGGAAATTAGATATATAACACAAAACCAATTAAACAAAATACTTTCAGATATAGTCAACAGGAATTTTTGCACCAGATTACTCAACGAGATATCTGCATGAAAGAATTGTGTGAAGCATTGATACTTAAACTGTATCTCATAAACTATCAGTACTATAGAGTATGCATTACGATAGTCCATGAGACAACAAACTCTATGGTTTTCCCTCCAAGGGTCGTGGCCCCGCCCCCAGCGTGCTCGGCATCCTAACGTCACTTCTGGGTGACGTGCGTGCAGTGCGCGCGCGCGCTACAGTCGCCGCCCGGGAGTCCCCCGCTGCGGCGACTGCAATGACTTGGTAACCCTAGCTGAGGCTCTTTTTCATAGCAAAAAGTTGCGAACTTAGCAGCTACTTTTGTTTAGGAATGAAGGCCAACTGGGGAAGGATGGAACTTCTGATGTGAAGGCCACTCCCCCCCCCCCAGTGAACCATTCCAGTAGAGAGAAGGGGAATGGTGAGACAAAATTCACAGCAAAATCAAAACCCTGGTATTGCATATATTCAGGATTAAAGTGTAAACGTTTTATGACTATTTGTGGTGGTTCCTGTGTATACCTCATAGTAATGAGAGGAGTTACACATGTGGTGACATGCATTATCACATGTGATCTGAAACACAGATGGTCTTACACTCCCAACCTTCCCTAAATGGTACCCCTATTGGGGGCAAGAGAAGCTACTTGGGTCTGTAAGAAGCTGTACAGCACAGAGCATTACCCTGTGATCAGCAAAACACAGCAAAATCTAGCAAAAGGAGTCCTCTGCCAGGCCTGTAGCTACAGTGGGGCATCTTTGGGCTAGGCCCCCTGACTTACTGGCAAGGCCCCCTGACTTTCCATTCAGTCAAGGGCCCCTGAGCAGTGGCAGGTGTGGGGAAGGAACTGAATATTCCTGGGCAGTTGTCTGGCACGAAGGGCCAGCTACGGTGGCCACGGGGAGCCAGACAGCACCTCTCTGTTTCCCCCAGAAAGTGAATTAACCTACATTTAATTTGATTAGCCAGTGCCCCCTAAGAAATTTAAATGCCCCCTGACTTAAAAAAATCCTGGCTACGGGCCTGGCCTCTGCTCTTGTGTTCTGGAACTGAGAGTTGGCCCTACAGCAGCAGCCCCTGAAGGAGCTTTTTCAGGGAACAGTGCAGCTGTGATTGTTCTCTTGTATGCCATCTCAATGCATGTGGCATTTTCACCATGATTTTAGATACAAGCAAGGCAAAGTTGCCCCACTGTTATCTGCTCACCTTGTGAAGGATGCCAAAGTAGCAATTACAGCATAAAATTCTGTTTGCACTAGTATAGGAGGAGTATGATTATTAGGGTA